TTTTTCCCCCCCATTTTTTTTTTTTTCCCCCACCCTCCTCTCTCTCATTTTAAAACCACCAATTTTTCATTTTTCCCACTCTCCCCCCCCCTCTCTCTAGGGGTTGGGGGGGGGTCCCACTCTTTTCCTAAACTTGAATACCAGACAGCCTCTAAAATATCTTCTCCAAAAAAAATTTTTTCTGTTTCTCTTCCCCCCTCTCTTCCCCCCCCTTCCCTCCCCCCCTTCCACTTTCTTTTTTTTAACAAAATGGGTTCTCTCTCTTTCCCACCCTCTCTCTCCTCTTCCCCCCCTTTTTTTCTTTTCCCCCCTTCTCTCCTCCTCCTCTTCTTCCCCCCCCCTCTCTTCCCCCATCAGGGGGTGGGTTTAGGGATTGGGTTAGGGGCCCTGTTGGGTAGGCTGTAAATTGCTAGCCCGACAGTGGATCCAGGACCAGCATAGTAAGCACCACAGAGTAGAGGTGAGGAAAGAGAGCGGAAACATTCTGACCTTGCTCCTGACCCAGAAGTAACTTGTATGACATCACTTCTGGGCCCTGTTGACAATTTCCCGGCTGCATGGAAGTGAAAGAATGTAATACAGTGCAATCTACACTGCATTACATTCATTGGAGCACAGAGAGACATGCATAAGGAGATTCTGTCACCAACTTTGTTTTTTTAAACTCTAAAAAAATATACACCATAGCACATTAAAAAAAAAATTAACAGAAACATTTTAGGCACCCCACCCCCACGTATACACATGTGCAAATGTAAATGCGCCTGCACATGAAAATATTGATTGCGATACATAGGTTACATACCGCCTTGCATGCCGGAATGAGAGCAATAATTCTAGCACCAGACCTTCTCTGTACTGCTAAACTGATGACCTAAAGGGGGGGGCTTAACCACTTTCCTACCAGGCACTTTTACCCCCTTCCTGCCAAGGCCAATTCATCTTTCAGTGCTGTTGCACTTTAAATAACAATTGTGTGGGAATGCAACATTATACCCATATGAAATTTTTATCTTCTTTCACACACAAATAGAGCTTTCTTTTTGTGGTATTTATTCACCACTGAGGGTTTTATTTTTTGCACTATAAACAAAAAAAAAAGCGCAAATCATTTGAAAAAAAAAGTTTTTATGTGTTTCTATTCTAAAATTTTGCAAACAGGTAATTTTTCTTCACTGATGTGTGTTGATGAGGCTGCACTGATGGGCACTGATGAGGTGGCATGGATAGGCTGCACTGATGAGGTAGCACGGGTGGGCATTGATGAGTAGATCTGCTCTGTGATATTTGCTGGTTATCGGCAGTACTTTCAGCGTGAGGAAAGTGCTGCTGATAACTGGCAACTGTATCTACTTTGTGATCTGCTGTGTCATTGGACACAGCTTATCACATGGTAAAAGGCCGCAGTGATTGGCCTTTTCCCTAGTCATGTGATCAGCTGTGTAGGTTGGACACAGCGATCACTGGCAGCACCTGGTGCTCACTGCTGGGGGGCACTTTCTGGGAGGACATCCTATGACGCCCTCCCAGAACTGGACAATCGCGCTGTATCCGCCTTTCGGCTATAGTGTGGTTGTAAATTGGTTAAAACATCGCCTATAGAAAAATATAGGGTACTGTTTGGCTCCTAACTTTTTATTAGCTAGCTCCTACATAAAAAGCAAATTTGTCAAGCCCTGGGTTAACACAATAGCAACAGGGTGGCAGCAAAACCAAAAACAACTAGTGAACAGCATAGGCTACACAAACAAATGCAATTGTGTTGCCCATATAACTGCTGAAGGCAGCACACCTTTCCTCCCTTATTTTGGCTACATTTACTTTTATTGTCAGGGTAGTGGGGCAATTTGCAGTCAGCTGTTATGGGCCAATGACCTTGTGAGTGGAAATTTTAGGACAGTGGATGATGGATAATGTATATGCACAGCATATTTGCTCAATAGCTTCCTTTTTTGTGGATTCGCATGGCAGTGGACCTACTAGTCAGTTTGTGAAGGGACATACTCCTTGCATTTGCCATAAGTTTGAGCCATTTTTCAGATCATTCAGAGTTCATTGACAGGTGCCTTTTTGACCTGCAGTGTGACCCTCTGATTTGAATTTGACCTCCTGAGCTGTGCTAGTTTTGGTACCCTATGCTAGTTTTAAGTTTTACTGTGTGTGTACTAAGGTGAAACTTTCTGTTTCCTGTTTTTCCAGTTGACCTGCGTGTTTGTTTCTTTATTGACTACATAAAACACTACCTAAAATAAAGTCTAATCTAAAGTATAATTCTTTCCTCAAAAACCAAAAAATTGTTGTTAAACCTAATGCTAGTTGTTTGTTGTGAAGCCATTGTACTAGGTGAACTTTCTTTCCTGTTTTTGCAGTTGACGGCTGCGTGGCAGTTTGATTCTTTATTGACTACATAAAACACTACCTAAAATAAAGTCTAATCTAAAGTATAATTCTACAAGAGGTATCCTCAAAAACCCTCCTAATTGTTGTTAAACCCTTTACATGAAAGCAGGTGCACAAAGCAACTTGTCCCATTCAATCCGCCGCTAAACCGCCTGCAGATATGGTAAAAAATATGCAAACAAGTGACCAACGTCAAACGCTATAGGGGCATTGGTTGGCAAGCCATTGGATCAGTTAGGCCCAGTCTCGACAAATCCCAGGTGCCAGGTCGACATGGTGGTCAGAATTTGTGGCCTGGCGCCTGGGCACCATTCAGCCCACTCACACCGGCAACTCCCACTGCCCTACACCCTGGACATGCAGCTCTGGGCTCAGGGCAACCGATCCTTTTCTCTCCCCCTGCTGGTCTCCATAGTTTCCCTGGAAGCAGGTAGTAGGCTGGGCTGGAGTCCGATGTCAGGTCTGGTGTGAGTGACAGTCAGGGGTGGCCAGGTCCGCTGTGAGTGACAGTCGGGTGGCCGGGCTATTCTTCTCAGGCGGCCGCTATCCCCTCTCTCAATGTCTGAGCAGAGTCCAAGGATGAATGGCTTCTCTCTGAGGGAGCTCTGTTGGTTCTTCTGCTGCCTGCCATGCCCGAGCCACACCACCTCCAAGCTGGCCTTGCTTCCCCCAGAGCTCACCTGGTGCACACATGGTGCGGGGGGGTGAGGTAGGGACCCAGCAGCCTTTTTGTGTGGAGTGGGCGGACTGGCAGTACTCCCTGCAGGAGCTGGATGTGGTGGTGTTCTGCTGGAGGATGGAGCGGAGGAGCTGCCTGGGCTGTATGTTCGCTTGCTGTGCCCCGGGGAGCGGTGAATGTGAGACAGATGTGCTCCTTGTTTATCTGCCTGGCATCCGACATCAACTGCCATGTCACCCGGTGTGTGTGTATATATAGAATACACACACCATGCATGCAGGAGAAACTCCCATGTGCCTGACACCCCCAGACATGCAGCTTACCCACAACAGAGCCAAAGTTTCTCTTCTTCCACACTCTGGCACCCTCTGCCCCCTCCCCCAGCAGACCCACTGCTGCCGTGCAGAAGGGCTTCCCCACACTCCCCTCTCCCATGACACCAGCCAATTCGTGCATACCGTGGCCCGACCCTCCTGCTCGTTGCCAGTCCCCACATGTGGCGCTGGAGGTGAACAGAGTGCAGCCAACACAGCATGCCACACAAACATCAAAAAACCTCACCCATTAAAAGCCTCGGCTCCAGTCCCCTCTATGCGTAAATTCAAGATCTGCCATCTCTGTCATCAAAAATATAGTCATTAGTCATAAAAATACTACTGGCTCCTAACTTTTTTTTTTTTTTTTTAGCTGGCTGCTAGATTCAAAGCAAATTTGTTAGGCAGATAGTAAAGTATTCAGGCCCAGATATTGACACACTGAAACACTAGTAGATAATGGACAAGGTTTTCTAATCTGTTTAATAACTTTCCATTCAGTGGAATCTTGGCTGAAACTGTCTGCAGCTGTCCATAGACAAAAGATCATCTTTTTCCTCCCTTTTTGTCATTTTATGTCTATGGATTTCTTTAAAGGATAGGTTCACCTTTGATAACATGTTACATATTACACCTGTATATAAGGCCCCCCCCCCCCCCAGGCCTCTAATGTCTCCCTAAGGTGTATCTGTCACTCAATATGTGCTGTCCCATAGGGGCTTGTCAGCACCCCTGTGATAGCAGTAAAAAAATAAATAAGCGCAAAGTAAATACATTATAGAGTGTAATATACTATAGAGTGTCATGTGCGTGACCAGTCTGAATAGGGCTGGGGCTGTTGACATCCAAGATGGCAGCTCCCAGAAGCATTCTCTGTGTTTTTGGAAATCTACACAAGGGAGACTTTTAAAGGTAAATAACATGCATAAAATAAGGTAATGACAACCTACTACAAATAGAAATATCCAGCATAAATCGCCCTCGCCTACCCTGTTTGTAATGTTGCAAGCAGAAAATGTTTTTGCTTCATTAGAGATACAGTATTTTCAATTTTAATCCTGGTTACATCTTCACAAGGCTTTATGAAGTATCCCTAGATGGAGCCTCTGAGAGGAGCTGTAAAGGCACTGTATGTGTCTTCCTATACTTGTAGTGTAACTTATTGGAGGTACTGTGGGCACCTGCATGGTCAGTGAAAGGGGAGTAAGAAACTCCCCTGCCATGTATGCAGCATTCTGTTGTACAACAAAGGAAAGTCACAGTGTTATTTCTTGCTCCCAATGGAGTGATCTTCCAGAGTCTTGCACATAAATGAAACAAAGGTTTGACAGGGATAGATAGTGTAAACTCTGCCAGAATCCAACTAGTGGGAAAATCAGTGCTCTTTCAGAACAGCAGTTATACGACAGGTTGCCAAGCACAAAGGACCAATATGTGGTGATCGATTTTATGAACAGGAAATATGTGTCCTTCTGACTGTAGGAAGGAAATATATTCAGCTAGTTTAAAGAGTCTACAGACCAGAAAACAAAAAATTTTATGTTGGAAATAGATATGAACCTAAAGAATGTAAAGTGAACTAAACTAATATGTATTCTCTGTTTTAGAACAAACCCTACGGTATCACATTTGGAAAGTTACCCTTATATCCCGTAAGTATTGTCCACATGTTTAATATAAGTGGCAGATTTAGTGTTGTTAGTGAAGGAATTTCTAATTATGTCACTGAGAACCCCTATGCTCCTTAATGCAAAGTTTAGGGGCATGCAAGTCAGTACACAGATACTGGGTGGTTTTTCTTGTTTTTTTTTTTTTTTTTTTTTTTTTTTTTTTTTGGGGGGGGGGGGGGTTTATTCCAGTAATGAAAGATGGAATGGATTTGTGTAATTGATGGGTAACGCATCAGACAGTCGTAATTTATGCAAGGTCGGTTGAAGTCCATTTTCAGACTAGAAGCGGAGAATTGACATAGTAAGCTGCAAAGTGGTTAGCCTTTAGTTCATGTTTAAGTGTTTGGGGACATGTAGATTTAACTGTCTGTTGCTCACTGCAGCCTAGAGGCTCTTGTAGGCTCCAGTGTTACCATGATGGCACTCCAGGCTATGGTTAAAATAAAGTGGTATTTTTGCACTTAATGTAAAAATTATTTTCTTGGAGTCCATTGGGAGACGCAGCTTCTAATATTAAAGGATAAGTTAGCCTTTCTGAACATGTTACACCCATATTCAGGGTGTAACATATTCAGCCTCAGACCCTAATCCCCTGCCTCCGTGGCAGCGAGCCTGAGATCTACTCCCTAAATTCACTGCCACAATTTTAAAAAAGTGCAGCCGCACAGGGCTTCGCCCACACGGACGTGTCATTGATTCACAGATCCTGGTGAATCAATGAACTACACGCACCAACAGCCTTTGTGGCTGTTGGCTTGTAGTTCTCAATGAACTACCACGGCGCTGTTGAACACTGGTAGTTCATTCATTTATTCTTGTCAGTGTAAAATGTCTACTTGTATGAGGTGCATTGGGAATATTGTGATTGGAGATCCCTTCCTTGTCACCTTTTGTTGTGCTTTTGATGAATTATAAATTATTAATAATCATAATCGTCCAGAAGTACTTCCAAAAATATTATGTTCTGCCAGGTAATGCCTGGACAATTAATTCAGTCAGCTAAAAGTGCTTGCAAATATTGCAGTAATTTATTAAATTTAACGGACTTAATAATTCTGAGTAATTTTAGAGCCAACCAAAATCCTTTAAAACACAGATTAGATCAGTGTAATCATGGACTACAGATTATGAAACAATTTATTTACAAATAAGTCACATACAAACACATAATGTAATGGCTTTATTGAGATGCACATAGACACCAAGATAGTTTACATAAACTTTGCAAAATTTTCTGTATCACTAGTTTACGTGTGTGTGTGTGGTAGGTAGGTAGGTAGGTAGGTAGTCTGTTTTTTTATGGAATTTCAGCGGTTATTCCCCGACAGGAGGAATAAGCATCAAAATGCGCAAGACCGTATGCCAATATGGCACAAGGAGCAAAATAAGAATAATATCACTACTAAAACTAAACTATATAAAGGTGGGTGGTTAGTTTATCGTAAAGAGAAAATTTAGTTACCATAAAATTACATTAAGCTTATTAATTTGGACAATTAAAATTACCAGGATATAGTTTATAGTTACCTTCCAAGTCTCGGGTAACTCAAAAGATGGCTGCCGATTAATGGGTTGAGTTGAGCTCTCACAAAATGGTGTCTGGACAGGCTTGAGTTGTGTGCCAGATATAGAGTAAGATGGATGGTCAGATGGAAGGGAGTGTCCCGATAGAAAGTTGTGATCAGATGGCTCTGTTGGATTGCCGTGTGTGATATGATTATCTGATCTGATGATCTCTCTTGAATTTGATATGATCTGATCTCCTCTGTCTACCTGACTTTCCCTTTTATCTATTGGCACCACACAATACATTCATAAAATTTTATATAAGGACCTAGGAGGTAGCCCAATAGGTGTTTACCTTCCTCTAATTGGTGACTTTGTCTCAGACTCCACCCATTTGTTTGTTTTAGTATTACCACCATTTTGCCACTGAGTGTCACTCTAAGATAAGTCCTTACTGTTTTGAGTTTCCTTGAAATTGAAGTACCTCATTCGTTATATGGAAAGATTAATTTTTCACTATAGGAAATTGGACTTCGTGAAAACTGTATAACTGTCTTGGAGGGTAAATTATGTACATCTACATCTCCATATAAACCTAATAATTCACATACTTCACTACTGATTGGTTAGAGATATGGCATCACACATTATTTCTACAATAAGAAGACTTTCAACACACTAAATATAATAGGATTACACATTACAGCCAGTGTTAATATTCAGTATTCCTTTCTTACAATGGGATCTTGTGTCAAACCTCTTCTATAGATATCTTGCGACATTATGGTATAACTTTAAAATCATATATTTCTAAATATGTCTGTGATAGTTATAATGGTTTTGTCCAGAAAAAGAATTTATGTGGATAGATTTACACATACACTGTATAAGGTTCAAAGGTTTAACCTTCCAAAGCTGTTTCCCATGAGAGGCGTTTACCCTTCCCAGAGCTGAATAATGGTAGTTACTGAATGGCCAGAATGCTAATTTGTTGAATACAGGTCTATATGCAAGCTGTCCCAACAGTTTACATTTTATGGGGCCTGGAAAGGCTGGTAAATATTGTTCATTTTCTACAGGTGCAGGAGAAGGACAGAAACCCATTGTTCCTGTTCTGAGGTGTCCTTGTTTCTCTCAGTTCTGTATGTGTCAAATAGATACTGTATGCACGACAATCAGATGATTTTATCCTAGACTTTGTGGGGAGAGATCCATTGTGCAGCAAGATGAGCTCTGTAAAGTAGCTTTCAGTTGAGAACTAGATTGTATCCTGCTTGAACTGAGACCTGACTGACTGACTGATTTTCTACAAAATATGACGCAGGAGATGTCCAAAACTTCATAGAACTGATGCAGGAACCAGCCCCGGACGAGTATCAACCCGGCACCTCAGGCATTTCCCTACCGGTTAAGAAGAGAAAACAGGATCCGGGCGCTGTCACTGCTCAAGAAGAGGAACTTTCCAGCACTTCCAACTCGGAGGAAGGCGAGATGGAAGACTAGGATCACAGGTTGTAAAGGTTCCTTTTTCCAGTAGAAGATACAGAAGGCCTCTTGAAGGTAATCTACGATACTCTAGACTTAGAAGAGGGACAACCGGATCTCTCTCTGCACGACCAGCTTATACGTGGGGCTACAAAAGAGAAGCGGCCGCACGTTCCCGGTCCATTCCACTGTATGGTCTACCATAAAAAGGTAATGGGAAGAGCCGGAAAGGAAAGCCGTTTTTCCTAAAAAACCTTAAAAGGCGATTTTCGTTTAAGGAGAAACGTGTCTATGTGGGAGTCTTGCCTGAAACCAGATGCTCCCCTTTCAAAGATTTCTAAATCAGATTTATCTTTCGAAGACAGAGGTTCCCTAAAGTACCCAATGGACCGCAAGGCCGACACATTTCTCAGAAGAGCGTGGGAAGTGTCCGCAGTGAACTTTAAACCAGCAACAACCTGTGTTTCCAGAGCCCTAGATGTATGGCTGGACCAGCTCCATTCTCACCTTGAAAAAGGCACGCCGGCTGAGGAAATTGGTAAATCGCTACTGGTAGCCTTCATTGCAGACGCATTGGCTGAAACCAATAAATATACAGCAAGATAAACTGCGCTCATAAACTCAGCCCCAAGAGCTATTTGGTTGAAATCCTGGCATGGGGACATCGCCTCCAAATCCAGGCTCTGCGGCCTGCCCTTTGACTGAAAGCTCCTCTTTGGGCCAGAACTGACTTAGGTCCTCGAGAGGTCTACCGACAAAAGGAAAGGATTTCCAATCCCCAGCAGACAAGCGGGACAGAAGTTTTTTCGTCCTAACAGGCAGCACACAACGAGAGAGGCCAGATTTCCGGGACAGAAGAAAGGCTGGGTCTCAAAAAGAGGAAAGGAGAAGGAAGGCTTTCTATTCAACCCTAACCAGGACAAAACCAAAACTCAATGCAAGTGACTGGTGGAGCCAGGTAGGAGGAAGACTGGGACACTTCCACACGCAATGGCTACAGACTACCCAGAATGCATTCATCCTAGATACAATTCGAAACAGCTACAGGATAGAATTTTCATAACTCCCCCCTCACAGGTTCTTCGCGACTCCACTGCCAAGGGAGGAGGGAAAGGCAGATGCACTCGTGAACCTCCTGGAAGAAACGCTCCAACAGAACATGGTCAGTCAGCTGGAGGAGGAAGAGGATTTCATTCCCATTTTTTTCTAAGAAGGAAGACATCTGGGATGTGCAGAATGGTACTCAACTTAAAGAAAGTGAACGAATTTGTAAAACCCAAATGATTCCTCATGGAGATGATCTACACAACGAAAGAAATCCTTTTGCCCGGAGCTACCGGGGGTATGTCCCCAGGCAGCTCACAGAGAAATAGAGGGGTAGGCAAAAGATAAAACAGAGCCCAACAAGTAACAAAAGTAGGCACTCACAGAGCCTTTTACAAAACCTTGCGTCCAGGCCCACAACTAGTAGTGGTGCACCAAAGTGAAAATTCTGCTACCAAAACCGATAATTCAGGATGCACTTGGCCAAAAACCGAAATAGATAGTTTTTAAAAATTAATATATTTTTCAAAAGCAAAATACAGTTTTTAAGAATTAAAAAAAACCCCACAATATGTACCCCAATAGTTTGGTAAAATATGAAAGATGATGTTATGCCAAGTAAATAGATACCCAGCATGTCATGTTTTAAAATTGTGCACACTCGTGGAATGGCGCCAAACTACGATACTTAAAAAATCTTGATGGGTGACACTTTAAAAATCTGTACAGATTACCAGTTTAAAGTTACAGAGGAGGTCTAGTGCTAGAATGATTGCTGCTCTTGCTCTGACGTTTGTGACGATATGGGGGTTTGAACACTGTTTACATATGTGGGTGTGGCCTATGTATGCGTTCACCACTACACACACAAGCACGGGGGGGATGGGGGCACTTTAAACATTTTCTTTTACACTGTCCCCCACATCTCTCCTCTACAATGTAAAGCATTTATCTAGTGCTTTAAAAAAAAAATGGCTTTGTGTACAAGGCGCTGGAACCTGAAGTGACATTGCTCCAGTCCAGGGCATAGAGATGAGTGGAGGCCATCTTTCCTTCACTAATATCTATGTCCAGCACTGGGATCGTTGGATGGGTTCTCAGGTAAGGTTGAGAACCACTGGCGGCGGGGAGGGCGGAGACTGGGTTATCGGCCAAAGGCCGATAGGGGTGTTTTTTTTCAGCCGAAACGTTTTGGACACTGAAATTTCGGTGCATCCCTACTTGAAAGAATGTCTATCCTTAGAGTCAGGTAGTCATGCTATGTCCTCTAGGCAGAATGTGAAGGGGCTCGTTACGCTTGCTGGAGAGGAAGAGAGCTGCTGCTCCAAGTCAACACAAGAAAGGAAAGATCTGGAAGCATGCGTGACTCTACCCCTTCCTGCATGTCTGCTCCTGTCTAAAGCCTTTCGAAAAGGGAAAAAAACTTTTCAGTAATATGGCGGCTGGAGCATGAGTTACTTGCCCTAATGACACCAAGAATGACATAAGCTGAAGGGGGATGTCACGATCGCAAGATCGCCGCCACCAACATCCCCACGATCGCGACAATCCCACGATCGCGACATCCAAAATGTCACGATCACAGCGTCAGTCCCTAGCCCTTCTCACCAAACTCGTGACCAAAGGACTAGCCAATCTGAAAACGCGATGTGACGTGCATAACAATGCCACACCCAGCTGCACCCTGCACAATGATTTTCCAGCTAATGGACCAAAATCGATGTACTGGCAGCCTGGGCGATTGTTAGAGAGGTGAAAGGGCTAAGGTACTTGCCAAGGTCCTGGGTTAGCAGATCCAAGTTTCAGAGCAGGAGGGCACGTGTCTCCCCAGGTGGCATTGATATTATAAAATGGGAGACGTCTTCAACTTAACTTTTCTTAGGCCTGACAGCCTGTTTTAAAGTCCCTTGCAGGGGGTGGCTCTCAAGTCAAGGCCCAATAACCCATTTAGGGCGTGTAGTTATGGGCGGATGCCTCAACTAGAGCAGAAATCGTCCATAACTCATATTTTGGTCCATAACTGTCCACCTGCACAAGGAACATTCCACCCGCAGGTAGATTATTATGCAGACAAGTCTGAGGATTAATTAGATATGAATTAAGAAATTATATACTGCATGGTTCACGAGATCTATTTTTCTGCTTTCCTGTGTGTTCGAGATAAGGCAAGTGACCCATCAAACTGTTCGCCTGCTCATTGGCCATCTGACGATATGTCTGGTTTTTATGTAAGTCTCTCATATTCCAAGATATGAGACATAGGGGAAACATGGATTTTAACAAAGTTCTTTGAACTCCAGGGAAAGCCTGCCTTATCTCTTCCGAGGTGTGAAATGGGAAAGCTAGCTAGGCACCTAGCTCAGAGACGTTTATAGCTCTGGGGTTCCCTGCTGCCTTGGCCTGCCAGTGACCCACAACCAGCACACACACATACACGCTGGCCAAATGTCTCCTCTCAGAGAGAGGGAGGGGGAGGGAAGACTAAGGGAGAAATGGATACTCTTAACAAAGTGGAGTCTGCGTCCTTCACTGTGTGTTGCGCACATTTGCGGGGAGTCTCTCGATGTAGGCCCAAACACAACATACCCACTAAGACTGGCAGGCCTTTAGAGACAGGGCCATAAAATGTCATGCCCCGGACCTGAAATATGCTCTTTAGTGAATTCACAGGTTGGCCTGGCATGACAGAGGAGAAAAAAAAGCCTTTGCTATCCAAAAAGAATATTAGAGCAAAACAACAGTTTTCCTTTGATTCATTAGTTCACAGCACATTGTTCCAGAACATCTGGCCTTTTCCTATATTTTCAAAGAGTTGTTTGGTGATAGCTAATAGTAGACCTGCTTGGCACAAAACAAAGCGAGCCCTTCAGAAGTACAAAGCACGTTGGACGCAATGCTATGGTACGGGGTTGCTTTGTTGCTTGCTATACAACGCCTGGCAAAAAGTATGGAATCACCACTCTTGGAAAATGTTCATTCAGTTGTGTAATTGTGTAGAAAAAAAACTAATCACAGACTTGCTTCAAAACTATTTTCATTTAACATTCCAACCTTCTGGCTTTAAGAAACACTGTGTCCTATGGACACAGCGATCACGGAGATCGCTAGGTGCGTGCCCCAGCGGGCGTGCAGGAGAGCGCATTCTGGGAGGACGTCATATGATGCCCACCCAGAACTGGCCGGCCGCAGTGCAGCCGTCATTCAGCTATCTGCGGTCGGCAACTAGTTAAGCTGCCCATACATTAACCAATTTTATTTCCTGCAACCAAGGGTTGCAAGAAAGAAAATTGCTAGATTCCCCCATCAACACAGTCAGTTGATGGGGGGAATCCCTCCTGCATTCTGCATTTGTATTATAATAGCGGGAGATTTCCCAGTTGTCAGAATACAATACACTTAAAAAAAGAGCAGCAAGACTTGCAGAACCTGATTGTGGTAATTGGCATAGGTGAAGAATCTGAGGTAGAGAGAAGTGCTATTATAACCTGTCACTTAAGTTTACTATATTAATTATGTCTGTTTCAAAATAGGGTGATGTCATCGAAGAGACTGGAGAAGTTATCCCACCCATGAAGGAACCAACCAGCGCTCATCACCACCACTAAACAGAAACTTGTTATGTTTTCATATAAATGTGTGGTCATAAGTATAGTATAGAATAAAATATTAACTTATACCTTTCAAGTTTTGTGCTTCTGTAAAGGTTATTAGTAACGCTTGTTTATGCTCCAAAGAAGTGTGTGTATATACTTACTATTTCTGAATTCTTTAGTCAGGTGATTATGCAGTATCCTCTACCTCACCTCTTCTTCTCTCTGGGCTGGGTGGTCCTACTAAGACCAAGAGAGTGGTGCTGAGCAAAGATGATGTCAGCTTTGTTCTTTTCACCAATTCATTTTAAATAAAGGGTGTCTTGATAACATTCTCAATAGAATCATCTCTCTTTGGGTTAGGTTGACACGGGGGGTGTTATATGCTAAAATCGATGCACACAAAACCTGGTGCAGCTGTGCATAGGTAACCAATCAGCTTTTAACTTCAGCTTGTTCAATTTAAGCTTTGAGAATAAAACCTGGAAACTGTTTGGTTGCTATGCACAGCTGCACCAGGCCCTGTGTGCACCGACTTTAAAAAATCTCCCTCTGGGTGTCTTTTACCTCAAAAGACTTGGAACATTTTGTGGCCAAAAAGAATCATTATGGAGGACAACTTTGAAATAAAGGTGAGCATTGCAGCCTAACCAATGGAAGACATAATACAAAAATAGCTTAAAAAATAAGTGTCTCTTGGGGAGGCCTTGGCAGGGTCATAATTTGTGACATTAGGGCAGACCACGTGTCAGCAGAGAGAGGCTCTCTACCCCACTGCTGTCAAGGAGGATCCGGGCTGCTCTGGCAAAATCACCGCACACAGCAGATAAGGATAGGCATGTTTTTGTTTTAAAAAAAAAAAAAAAAAAAAAAAGCCTTTAAAATCACTTTAACCACTTGCCTACCGGGCACTTATACCCCCCTTCCTTACCAGGCCAATTTTCAGCTTTCAGCGCTGTTGCACTTTGAATGACAATTGCGCAGTCATCATACAACATTGTACCCATATGAAATTTTTATCAATGTTTTCTCACAAATAGAGCTTTCTTTTGGTGGTATTTACTCGTCGCTGGGTGTTTTACTTTTTGCACTATTAAAAAAAAAAAATAGCAACATTTTAAAAAAAAAAAATTTCTTTGTTTCTATTATAAAATTCTGTAAACAGGTAATTTTTCTTATTCACTGATGTGCGTTGATGAGGCTGCACTGATGGGCAGCACTAATGAGGTGGCACTGATTGGCAGCACTGATGAGTACTGATAGGCGGCACTGCTGGGCATGGACTGGTGGCACTGCTGGGCACTGACTGGCACAACTTCTGGGCACTGACTGGCGGCACTGCTGGGCTGCACAGGTGGGTGGCACTGCTGGGCTGCACAGGTGGGTGGCACTGCTGGGCTGCACAGGTGGGTGGCACTGCTGGGCACTGATCACTGATCATCAGTGCCCTGATGATCGGTGCCAATCCCTGCTCTGACTGTTTCTCGGCAGTACTTTCCTCACACTCTGACAACGTGAGGAAAGTGCAGCCGAGAAGCAGCAATTGCATCTCCCTGTGATCAGCGTTTCATTGGACACGGCTGATCACGTGGTAAAAGGCGCTGTGATTGGCCCTTTACCACATCACGTGATCAGCTGTGTCCGTAGGACACAGCGATCACGGAGATCGCTAGGTCGTTCTGGGAGGACGTCATATGATGCCCCACCCAGAACTGGCCGGCCGCAGTGCAGCCGTCATTCATCTATCTGCGGTTGGCAACTAGTTAAGCTGCCCATACATTAACCAATTTTATTTCCTGCAACCAAGGGTTGCAAGAAAGAAAATTGCTAGATTCCCCCATCAACACAGTCAGTTGATGGGGGGAATCCCTCCTGCATTCTGCATTTGTATTATAATAGCGGGAGGTTTCCCAGCTGTCAGAATACAATGATCATTGCTGATGGCTATAGTCGCTGGCACTGATCAATTTCAGTGCAACCAGCCTGTTTTTGTGTTTTTTTCCATTTGATCGATAGGTTGACTTCAGTACAACCAATCTGCCCATACTGTATATGGATCGAAATTTGGTCGGTGCCTGCTGAATCGGCTAAAATTTGATTCATCTATGGGTGGCATTGGACAGGTCTGTTACTGTGCCAAATCCTGGTTTATTTTTAACTATTAAAAGATAACTATACTTTGGTTCCTTTGGGGGAGCTACAAGCCACTGCTGCAAACTCTCACAGCCAGTCCCTGCATGGAAAATTAATTCCTATAGAGAGGCTGTTGGACATTGGAAAGCATGATAGACAGCCACTATGTAGAAATGAATGGGAATTTTCCCCACATAGGGTGATCTCCAAGAGACTGGAAAAGTTGTGCTTCTGTAAAGTTATTGAAAGAGTTTGCAGCAGCTCCTCCGCAGGCAGTAGTATGGGCATAGCAGTTATGCGGATAGGTAAATATCAGTCTTACCGGTAATAGTTTTTCTAGGAATTTTTCAGGACAACAACCTGAGAGATGATCAGCCAAAACCGTTAGAAAAAAAAAAAACCCTCCCACCTACCTCAGTTGAGAAGAAAGTGGACTACCTGCACCAGTACACAAGGGAAAAAACACAGTTAAAGAATAACCATAAACAAAAGGGCATGAAGTTGATTAGATGCCCTGGACAATTCCTAGACCTCTCCCAAGACAGCAAACTGAAAGGAGAAGCAAGAAAAAAAAAATACCGCAGGGTGTACCCACTGTTCACCACTGTAGAAATTGTCTCCCAAATGCCAGGTTCTGGCTCAAGAGAACCTCCACTCTCGGCTAGACAAAGATTTCCCAACTAGACCAAATTGTCAATGTGCAAACTTGGTCAACTGATGTTCCCTGCTCTTTTTACCATCATGTAGCATCTAGTAGGAAGTGCCTTTAACTTGCACTTAAATGTTTGTGAAAATCACTTGATACATGTGGTCCTGGAGGGACTGAAGACGTTTCTTGGATCCCAAAACAAGACAAGAAAAACAGGTTAACCTTGAATCCTCCAGAAGTGTATACATGGCTGATAAGGTGTTTAAGAAGTACCCTCTTACTGAAGGTCTAAAGCGGGGGTCTCCAAACTTTTCAAAGGGCCAGTATGCGGTCCTTCAGACTTTAGGAGGGCCAGTGAGGATAGACTATGTCCTGGCCCCAGCGTCAGTGAGAATAAACATGGCCTCAGTGTTGATGGTCAGTAGGAGGAGGAGTGCCCCATCATTGGTATTAGTGGTAAGAATAGTACACCATCATTTGTTCTAGTGGGAAGAATAGTACACCATAATTGGTTTCAGTGGAAGAAGTGCTGCCCCATTGTTGGTCTCAGTGAGAGGAATAGTGCCCCAAGGGCTGGATAAAGGGTAGCAAAGGGCCATATGCAGCCCTCGGGCCACAGTTTGGAGACCCCTGGTCTAAAGGGTAATTGCAGATGGGAAGCCCTTACAGGAACTTTAGAAAAGAGGCAGAGACAAAGAGATCCATTGAACAGCCCATACCCCATCCAGCAATGGGGGAGATCTGGGAATGTACTGGAGAGACAGTGCAGGAAGTCCAACTGCTTAGTTAAGATGAAAGAAAAAATACTTTAAGCAGAAAAAAGTTAGAGTTCTCAGTAAAACCTGTCTCAGGGTGGAACAGGAAAGATAACTAAACAAGAAAGGGCCATCAACACAAGAACTAACTTTGCAGAGGTACAGTTGCAAGAAAAAGTATGTGAACCGCTTGGGATTACGTGGAGTTTTGCATGAATTAGGCATAAAATGTGCTCTGAACGTCATCTAAGTCACAACAATAGAAGAACACAGTCTGCTGAACATAATACTACACAAACATTAGATGTTGCCATGGTTTAATTGCACATAACATGTAAACATTCACAGTGCAGGGAGGAAAAAGTATGTGAGGCCCTAGCTTAATGACTTCTCCCAGAGCTAATTGGAGCCAGGAGTGAGCCAACCTTGACTCCAATCAGTGTGCTGATATTGGATGTGTTGCTGTCCTGCTCTTAAAAAACACACACCTGTTTTGGGTTTACTGTTTTCAAGAAGCACTGTCTTTTGTGTACCATGCCTCGCAGAAAAGAGCTCTCAGAAGACCTACGATCGAGAATTGTTGACTTGCATGAAGCTGGAAAGGGTTACAAAACTATCTCCAAAAGCCTTGATGTTCAGCAGACTGTGTTCTTCTATTGTTGTGACTTAGATGACGTTCAGAGCACATTTTATGCCCAATTCATGCAAAACTCCACGTAATCCCAAGGGGTTCACATACTTTTTCTTGCAACTGTATTGGCAAAGAAAAAGGCAACTGTGAGTAAGTGTGAAAAAACAAAGAAAAAAACTCTTGACAAGATTAAAGTGGATAGAAGATGTGAGGTGCTGCTCGCCCAGCCCAATGCACGTAAGTGTAGGTGGTGGCCTCAGCCTGTGCTGCTCCACTGGCTAGGCCCATTGGGGCTTAGTCATAGAGGTGGCAGGATGAAACATGTCAGAGAGCGTGGGAAGTGGTACAGCGCTGGCGGAGGCTATCACCTACATTTACAAACGCTGGGCTGGGCGAGCGGTGTCTTCTATATATATGTCGGCACCTCTGGATGAGTGACAGGACGCCAGCACCCCGACTCCTGAGCTCCAGCAAGCAGCACATCACACCATAGAGTGAGGGAGGGTTATAACCCCTGTCAGAATTTTTTTTTTTTTGCCATCTGTGTTACCTTCACCTCCTGTGCCACATTCAAATCAAAACAGGAAGTGCAAGGAAATCACTGCAAATTAAAGCAATCCCATGGGGCCAAAGTTCTGTCTAATTTTTTTAAAGGCTCCAATAATTAAGATCCAACAAAGTCAGGTAAAGATCTTTTGAATTCATAGCTGCACAAACCAGTGGAATTATGTGATATGTGAGCAACATTCCGTACAAAGGCTTACTCAGGAATGATAAATAAGCAGTCTATGAAATAAAATTTCCAGAGCCGAGAACTAGCCCCCAAGAGAAATTAAGGGGCAAGCGTTTGTCCAAGGTAAACTGGCAAAAAAAAACCAGGCTTTTTCCCACAGAAAGCTATCCGGAAAGGGAATTCCCTTTTCTTTTCTTATTGGAAATACACTTCCCAGGTGCCCAGACTAGATTGAAGGAAAGCCATGATGAATCCCACAGAGAATATCTTCATGGAATTTCCTTGCCTCGTCTCATGCGAACTATGCCTACTGAGCAACAAGGTAGACCTTGATACTGGCATATTCCCTAGCATAGAGAAGTGTAAGGAAATTGTAAAGTTATAACATCCGAGCCCTAGAGTTTGGGATCTAATGGCTATGCTGCTTCACTTAGCCATAGAGAAGCATGATCGAGAGCCAGACTGGAAAAGAGAATCACCAAGGCCTACTTTGGCCTTTAAGTTATTCAGAGCCCAGTGTTGACCTAGACCAGATTGGAGAAAGACCGGATTCATCCCACAGAGAACTTTTTGGGATTTTCTTGCATCACACTCTGAGAAATACACTTGTCAGTTGCAATAGTAGACTATGGAGGTGATGGTGCAGTTGTGCATAGTAACCAATCCGCTTCTAACTTCAGCCTGTTCAATTAAGCTTTGACAATAAAACTTAGAAGCTGATTGATTACTATGCACCACTGCACCAGATTCTGTGTGCACCACTTTTAGTAAACCACCCACTATGCGTGGGGCCAGTTACCTAATTTACAGAATAACTCGACTTTTCTTAAGGAAAAAAAACATGCCCCCTGGCTGATCAATGTACAGTGCAAGGATTCATTGTTGCAGATTACTTCCTGCTTCTGCTCTAAGACTCTCAATTCTCATTTGCACAGGTGTTTGCTGGTCTATGTGATTCTCCTGTGGCTGCGTTTTAATGGATAAGTTCACCTTTGTGAACATGTTACACCTACTGTATATTTAGGGTGCAACATGTTCAGCATCTGCTTCCCCCAAACCCCCCCATTCCATGAAGGCAGGCCAGGGAACTATCAGGGCGCTGTAACTACCAGAGGTATGAGCAGACAGTCTGCAGAAGCCTGACACTGCCCCCTAATCTGCTGATCACCAGTGCAGTGCTTTACAAACTCCTTAAAAAAATAGATAAATGTACATTTTACCTGCAAAAAATGTGCATTTATTACTTTTTTAAAAGGTGAATTTAGCCTTTAAAAAAGGCACAGGAACCTTTTTCCTGCATGAAAGCGCAGACAGCAGCCCATTCAAATGAATTGGCTGCCGTACCTACACAAATGTGTCTTGCAGACATGCATAAATGTGAGCCTAGCCTTAAGAGAAAGCTGTTTGTTCCACTTTGTGGCTTAGTATACTAATTCTGAATGGAAGTGACTTTTTCATTATTAACCACTTGCCAACCACGCTATAGCGGTTGTGGTATCCATACAATCTTCTCTAATGCAGGCCATAGATGGGTCGAAAATCGGCCGATTTTTCAGCCGAAAATAAAATCGGCCGATTTTCACTTGATCGTTAGTGGGCGATTTGGTCGGCAAGGTATTTTTTGGCCGTTTTTTTTTCTTTTTCGGTAAAGTTGGAAAAAAAATCGGCCGATTTTGCCGATCGGCCCAATTAGTGGGCAAATCCCGATTTTTTACCGATAAAAAATCTGCGCATGAGCAGTGACCTGCAAGAGGAAGACAAAAAGAAGAAAAAGAAGAAGAGGATAGAAGAACAAGAAGAAGAGGATGAAGAAGAAGAAGAGGATGAGGATGAAGAGGATGAGGATGAAGAAGAGGATGAGGATGATGATAAGAAGAGGATGATGAGGATGATGAAGAAGAAGAGGATGAGGAATGAAGAAGAGGATGAGGAAGAAGATGAGGATGAAGAAGAAGATGAAGAAGAGGATGAAGAAGAAGAAGAAGAAGAGGATGAGGATGATGATGATGAAGAAGAAGAGGATGAGGATGAAAAAGAGGATGAGGATGAAAGAAGAAGAAGAAGAGGGTGAGGATGAAGAAGAGGATTGAAGAAGAAGAAGAAGAAGAGGATGAGGATGATGAAGAAGAAGAGGATGAGGATGAAGAAGAAGAAGAAGAAGAAGAGGATGAGGATGAGGATGAAGAAGAAGAAGAAGAAGTAGGATGAAAATAAGAAGAATTCCAGTCCAGCAAAAAGTGTCTCTGCAGAGAGCTCCGCTATTTCTGACAGTTCTCTGAGTTCCTTGACATTTACAGCGGTTGAAACATTGTATCTATTTGTTTCCGAATAAAAACATCTGTATCCTAAATGGAAACAAATAGATACATTGTTGCAACTTCTATAAATGTCAAGGAACTGTCAGAGAACTGTCAAAGAAATAGCAGAGCTCTCTGCAGGGACACTTTTTGCCGGGCTCTAGACGGGTAGAAAATCGGCCGATGTTTTTTACCATTGATGGTAACGTCGGCCACTTGAACAACCGATTTTTCGTTTTTTAAAAGAAAAAATCTGCAGTTTTTCTCCCCATCTATGGCCTACATAACTGTGCCTTACTTAAAATCCCTTCCATATTTACCCATCCTTTCCCTTGTGAATTAAATGTCCAATCTACTATTCGTGATAAAATCACTGCTAGATAGTAATTCCTCATGTTGGGTAAGACCAAACCCCCATTCCCTTTTACTCTACTCAGGACCTCGTAACTGATTCTCGGTTTCTTATTTACCCATATAAACTTAGTAATCATTTTTTTATTATCCCAAAAAAAGGCCCTGGAAGGTGAACCAGGAGCATGTGGAACTTCTACAGAATTTTTGGCATTTCCACCATCTTTACCAGATTTATACATCCTATCCAAGAGGCTCCTCCATTTGAAAGTTTCTTTAGTTCTTCCTTAATTTCATTTATTAGGGGGATATAGTTTACCTGATATATACCTTTTTGTTGAGTGGGTTTATTTTACTCCCAGGTAACCTATTTTCTTTTCCCTCCAGAAAAATGGAAACTCTTTTTGTAGCCTCAACTTTTCTGACATTGGGAGTTTGATATTTAATATTTCTGATTTTACCGGATTTATTTTCAAGTTTGATAGCTTGCCATACTGTTTTAATACTCTCATTAGGTTAGGCAGTGTTATTCTAGGTTTAACAATATAAAACAACATATCATCTGCACATGTGGCTACCTTATGCTCCACTTCACCTATCTTTATTCCCACTATATCTACTCACTTCCTTACCTTTGCCAGAACAGGTTCCAAAAACAGTACAAACAACAAGGGAGAGAAGGGGCATCCTTGCCTAGTGCCGTTGTGCATAATAAAAATCTGAGAAAGCGATCCGTTAACCTTAACCGCCTCTTACGGGCTATTACACAATCCTTTTATCCATTGTAGCATTTTAGGCCCTATTCCTAATGCCTCTAGTTTATCAAACATAAATCCCCAATTAGCCCTATCAAAAGCCTTTTCGGCATCAATCAATAGTATTGCCAGCACTCTCTCTCTCTCTAGCTCTTCGTACAAGAATCAAGGATCTCAAACCATTATCCCTACCTTCTCTTCCCGGGATAAAAACCCACCTGATCTAGATGTACCCATTCTGGCATCAAGTCCTTTAGTCTTGTTGCCAGCATCTTAGCATATAGTTTCTATATATCTATGTTTAATAATGATATAGGCCTATAACTGGCACACTGTGAGCTATCCTTCCCTTCTTTAAGAATGATCATTATATGAGCTTGCAGTGACTCCTCCCTCATTTCCAACTCCTCCCCCAGTGCGTTCATATACCTACACATTTTAGGGACAAGAAGATCTCTACATTTTTTAAAGTATCCCACTGTGTATCCATCCGGCCCTGGGCTTTTACCTCTCACTGTGTTCTTTAAGACTAAGTTAATTTCCTCCGGGGTAATAGGTCTCTCAATGGTCTCTAGTTTTTCTTGCACTAATCGTGGCAACTCCACCTTACATATTTCTGCCTAATTCTTTTCTTGTCCTCTTCCCTTTCCTTTTGATCACCACTGCTCACATCATAAAGTTCACTATAATATTTTTGAAACCTATTAGCAATATCAAAGGTAGCATGCAATATTTCTCCTTTCCCATTTCTAATTTTTTCTATAAAATTTTTGGATTTCTTGCTCTTTAACCTTCTCATTAAGTATATTCCAGGTCTATTCCCCCACTGGTATCTTTCCTTTGAGACACTATTAAATATCCTCCTCGACTCTTGTTCCATAAGCTCTTTTAATTCATCTCTTTTAAGAATTATCTTATGATATACTGTACATCTGTTCCTCTCTTTTTTTATGTAGCTTTTTCCAATTTATAAATCTCTTCCATCACCATCTTTATTTTTTTTCTTGTTCCTACCAAAATCAGTATTCCCCTAATATAAGCTTTATGTGTCTCCCAGACTGTGGCCATCGAGACCTCATTAGTCTCATTGAGCTCAAAAAATTGTTTAATTTCTCACCTTAACCTTTTCTCTGCTTCAGGATCCAGTATGAGCATTTCATTTAGTGTCCATATAGTTGTTTTATCTTGGCCTCCTCCTACTCATAATTTCATCATAACGGGAGTATGATCAGAAATGGACAAGGACAAAGGAAAGGTAATTTTCTAATATTCTATTACATTGGCTTGTGTAACCGAAGTTACCCTTTACAGCTTAAGGATAACAGAACCAAACCCACTTCCAAATATGTAGGTTAAGCAGTGAGGTGGGAGAAAGCCACAACCAAGAAGCAGAGTAGTAAAAAAAACCTATCCTTGAGACAAAGTCCTGGACGATGAGGAAGAGCCCAAAAGGGAATCTGGCAAGAGCCTGATGAGGTCCAAGTACTCATCTGCCTGAGTCGGTAATGTGTAAAGAGAAACACTGAAACACCCTCTATCTTGATCCCATGAAGCAGGCAAAGAAGAAATATCAAATAATTAAAAAGGCGTAGAACCGGCAAAAAGGATTCTAGAGTTACCAAAGCATCCCTTGTCATAGCTAAAGAGGACCTGGAGACAAACTTGGCCAGTATGTTGTTAAATCTGGAATCCAAAAGGTCCAGATTTAGTGTTCTTTACTTGAAACAAAGGTCTAGAACATGTGCAGGTGAAGAGACCATACTCTTGAGTCTGGATGACAGCTAAACTCCCAAGAACAGAAAAAGCACAGCAGGCAAACCTATAAAATGAAACTTTGCCCAAGGCAGAATCTGCCATGCAATGCTTTTCAGACCACTGGTTCCCCTGATGGTTGACATAAGCATTGCTGCTGCATAGCCCAATGGAATCCTGGTCTATTGATTTGTAGTCAAAAGGTCCAGCTCTGAAAGGGATAACCCAGTCATTCTAGGCTCCAAAATGTTAAATGGGAAATGAGATTTTATTGTTGACCAAGCTTGTTGCATAAAAAGAGGGGCTTGGACTCCTCCCAAGCCAGACAGGCTGGCAACCATTGTGAGAATCTACCAGACCAATGGATTGAAGAATTCCCATTATAACTTCCAGGATATAATTCTGACACACCAGGCCAGAGACAACCTGGTCCTGGATATCAGGCCCAGAGAATGTAGCTTCTGCCGGAATTTTGAGTTGCAGCAAGCCCCTCTCTGCAAAGAAAACCATGAAAAACCCTGATTAAAAAAAAAGAAAAACTTTAAACCTTTTCCTGGAGTGGAATAAGTGCAAAGACTCATGCAGAGAGGAGCTATGCCAGAAATGTGTGAAGGGTTCTAGCAGAGAGGATGGCAGGTCAGACAACCTGAAATAGGGTGAAGGTAAAAATAGAAAATCTAGCTAGTCACCCCTGGATACTATAACTTTTACTTATGTATCTGAATGTTTTGGTGCAGGAGATTGCAACCACTAAATGACCCCCTTTCTTGAGAATAGCAGAGTCTCTCACTCACAGGTTATAAAATTCCCCGAACTATGAGAACAAAGATGTCAGAAGAGAAAATAACTTCTTCAACTTTAACCTCCTCCATCAGAATAACCATTCAAGGTGGGTTACCGAAGGGAGTGACTAATGGAACTGAACTTCCAGCTTCTGAATGTGAAAGGTAGGCCTCGTAAGCAGCCCTGTTTTTGAAAAACACTCCAGCTTTGCATGTGAGAAAAATAACTGCCCCAATGTTATGTCACCAAGCCCCAGGACCGAAGAACTCACCGTTGCAGGTTCCAACTTGAATGTGTTCGATCCAGGCAGAAGACCATTTCAAGACAAACAGATCTGCATCAACAGGAGGACCACTTTATACCCTCAGCATAAAATAGCAAATGTGATGCTCCTGGGTGGTAGGAAACACAATCTAAACTGAGGGGTGAGGGGGCTGGGAGGGATTTTCACTGTTTTTTTGGCTTGAGTTTCATGTAGAGGGAGGAAAAAAATAATCTCTCAAGTTGCTGTCTTGGAAGATAATTGGGGAAAAATAACCATACAAAAGTTTAGTTATGCTTTAAGCTCTATGTGTATCAATGGTTCATGCAAGGCCTGCTTAATTTAAAATGTATGTAGCCCCCTATCCCATCATCAATGGCAACTTTTAAAAAAAAAAAAAAACACATAGGAAAGAAAGTTGTTAAAATATACTTACATTTCCCCCACCTTTTGCTCTTTATTTCAATATTACAGTGCCTAGGTGAGGATGACATCGTGCTCTGTCCTATGAGATCCTGGGGAGTACTGAATAGCCCCAAATCTTACAAAGAGGCACTCAACCACTACACTGTAATATCTTATGTGATTTGGCCTACTTGGTGTTCTTTGGTACTCATAAAAAGTAGAGTCATGTCATCCCCTGAAGACAGAAGCTGGGAGAAAGGTACTTTCATTCGGTTTCATCCCTATAATTTTTCCTTGTACTTTAAAGCTGATCTCTATGATGAGATTTTAAGAGGACCTTGCATTTTACAGTCTGCTTTAAAGTGACCCTGTCACCACAAGGTCATTTTTACACAAAATCCCACGTCTAAATGAAGCATGAATGTACTGAACTTTCTAGCGACTTGGGTATTGAAAAAGCTGCCAATTCACCACTACTACTACTTCTACTGCCAGAAACTTGAGCATATTCACACTTCTTTTACAGGTGTCCAATTAGGTAAAAATTACCCCTGTAATGACACTGTCTCTTTAAAACTCAGATCAAGGCACAGCAGTAATACATTTTCTGGCACCACCTACACTGCATGTTATTATAATAGTGATAGCTTTCTGAATTATACTTAAACCGGAACTTCACCCTTAAAGGAGAAGCTCTGCTTTATGTTCTCCTCACCTTTTCTTCTAACTTTTGTTGGGAGGGGAGGGAAAACCTAATTTTGGTACATACCTGCTCCCACTTCTGGTTGGATTACCTAGGCAATTCCACTACAAGTTGGGCACCCCTAATCCTGGCCCACAGCCTTCTAGGACATGTTACAGGTCCCAGCAGACTGAAAAACCATTCACACAGCACAGTGCGGCTCGTACATGCACAGTGGGAAGCCAGCTGTGAAGCTGCAAGGATTCCCAGCTGGCTTGTCAAATTAAACACACTGTGTACCTGTAGACCAGCAAAGAACCAGCCCGGGTGAGGATGGAGCTGAATCTCTGCACAGGTAAGTGTCCTTCACCAGCTACAGTATTTGTAGTTGCTGACTTTTAATGTTTTTTCAAACAGAGTGAAGAACCACTTTATGGACCTGACTAGAGATGAGCGAATCGAACTTGGCGAAGTGGAATTCGTTTTCGAATATTAGGAAAAATTCGATTCGCACCGAATCCGAATTTTAGCAAACTTCGGATGCACGAATCGAATTTTCCCCGATCAGACCCCCCCGCCGGCAAAAAGTGTCACTGCAGAGAGCTCCGCTATTTCTGACAGTTCTCTGACAGTTCCTTCACATTTACAGCGTTGAAACATTGTATCAATTTGTTTCCATTTAGGATACAGATGTTTTTATTCGGAAACAAATAGATACAATGTTTCAACCGCTGTAAATGTGAAGGAACTGTCAGAGAACTGTCAGAAATAGCGGAGCTCTCTGCAGATACACTTTTTGCTGGAATGGAATTCTTCTTCTTTTCATTCTTCTTCTTCTTTTCATTCTTCTTCTTCTTCTTTTCATTCTTCTTCTTCTTTTCATTCTTCTTCTTCTTCTTCAATCTTCTTCTTCTTTTCATTCTTCTTCTTCTTCTTCTTTTCATTCTTCTTCTTCTTCTTTTCATTCTTCTTTTCATTCTTCTTCTTCTTCTTTTCATTCTTCTTCTTCTTTTCATTCTTCTTTTCATTCTTCTTTTCATTCTTCTTCTCATTCTTCTTTTTCATTCTTCTTCTTTTCATTCTTCTTCTTCTTTTCATTCTTCTTCTTCTTCTTTTCATTCTTCTTTTCATTCTTCTTCTTCTTTTCATTCTTCTTCTTCTTCTTTTCATTCTTCTTTTCATTCTTCTTCTTTCTTCTTTTCATTCTTCTTCTTCTTCTTTTCATTCTTCTTTTCATTCTTCTTCTTCTTCTTTCATTCTTCTTCTTCTTTTCATTCTTCTTCTTCTTCTTTTCATTCTTCTTTTCATTCTTCTTCTTCTTTTCATTCTTCTTCTTCTTTTCATTCTTCTTTTTCATTCTTCTTCTTCTTCTTTTCATTCTTCTTCTTTTCATTCTTCTTCTTTTCATTTCTTCTTCTTCTTCTTTTCATTCTTCTTCTTCTTCTTTTCATTCTTCTTTTCATTTCTCTTCTTCTTTTCATTCTTCTTTTCATTCTTCTCATTCTTCTTTTTCATTCTTCTTCTTCTCATTCTTCTTCTTCTTCTTTTCATTCTTCTTCTTCTTCTTTTCATTCTCTTCTTCTTCTTTTCATTCTTCTTTTCATTCTTCTTCTTCTTTTTTTCATTCTTCTTCTTCTTCTTTTCATTCTTCTTCTTCTTCTTTTCATTCTTCTTTTCATTCTTCTTCTTTTCATTCTTCTTCTTTTCATTCTTCTTCTTTTCATTCTTCTTCTTCTTCTTTTCATTCTTCTTTTCATTCTTCTTCTTCTTTTCATTCTTCTTCTTTTCATTCTTCTTTTCATTCTTCTCATTCTTCTTTTCATTCTTCTTTTCATTCTTCTTCTCATTCTTCTTCTTCTTCTTTTCATCTTCTTCTTCTTCTTTTTTCATTCTTCTTCTTCTTCTTTTCATTCTTCTTTTCATTCTTCTTCTTCTTTTCATTCTTCTTCTTCTTCTTTTCATTCTTCTTCTTTTCATTCTTCTTTTCATTCTTCTTCTTCTTCTTTTCATTCTTCTTCTTCTTCTTTTCATTCTTCTTTTCATTCTTCTCATTCTTCTTTTCATTCTTCTTTTCATTCTTCTTCTCATTCTTCTTCTTCTTCGTCTTTTCATTCTTCTTCTTCTCCTTTTCATTCTCTTCTTCTTCTTTCATTCTTCTTTTCATTCTTCTTCTTCTTTTTTTCATTCTTCTTCTTCTTTTCATTCTTCTTCTTCTTCTTTTCATTCTTCTTTTCATTCTTCTTCTTCTTCTTCTTTTCATTCTTCTTCTTTTCATTCTTCTTCTTTTCATTCTTCTTTTCATTCTTCTTCTTTTCATTCTTCTTTTCATTCTTCTCATTCTTCTTTTCATTCTTCTTTTCATTCTTCTTCTCATTCTTCTTCTTCTTCTTTCATTCTTCTTCTTCTTCTTTTCATTTTTCTTTTCATTCTTCTTCTTCTTCTTTTCATTCTTCTTCTTCTTCTTTTCATTCTTCTTCTTTTCATTCTTCTTTTCATTCTTCTTCTTCTTCTTTTCATTCTTCTTCTTCTTCTTTTTTCATTCTTCTTTTCATTCTTCTTCTCATTCTTCTTTTCATTCTTCTTCTTCTTCTTTTCATTCTTCTTCTTCTTCTTTTCATTCTTCTTCTTCTTTTCATTCTTCTTCTTTTCATTCTTCTTCTTCTTCTTTTCATTCTTCTTTTCATTCTTCTTCTTCTTCTTTTCATTCTTCTTCTTCTTCTTTTCATTCTTCTTTTCATTCTTCTCATTCTTCTTTTCATTCTTCTTCTCATTCTTCTTTTCATTCTTCTTCTTTTCAGTCTTCTTCTTCTTCTTTTCATTCTGTATTCTTCCTTTCATTCTTCTTCTTCTTCTTTTCATTCTTCTTCCTCTTCTTTCATTCTTCTTCTTCTTCTTCGTCGTGCCCCGTGACTGCCCAAATGAGTGAAGTGTGCGGTGATTCTAAGATCGACGGCACTCATCTGCATGTCATACTGACTGACAGTATTATTTCTCTTCCCCAGCAGACTCCAAGGGCATTTAAATTAAAGGTACAGTGTTCTGCACTAATATAAAGGCTCTCTGAAGCCTAGAAACCCTTTTAATAAGTTAAATTCGCAGCGAATAAATTCGCATCGAATCGAATTTCTCCCGCAAATTCGGCGAATCAGCAATCGAATTTTTGAATAATTCGCTCATCTCTAGACCTGACCTCAGATCTCTAAGGCTTATGCATAAACCTCATTTTGACAGGTTCTCTTTTGTGTGCAGCTTACAAGTCTTGTCTCTTCCCTAGACTGTGACTGGACAGTGATAGGAGAAACAGCAGACTAATGAGCTTATCTCTTTGTCACTCTGCTCTCTCCTCCTAGCAGTATTTTTTCTGTTAGCATAAGACGTCTAAAGCGCAAACTGACTGGGTCCTTTTGCTGCATTCTGTCTCCCAGCCTGGGTCAAATTCAGGTATTTGCATTTAAAAAAATACATTTATTAAGGTATACAGAGTTGCATTTGTGTTCTTTGTATATCTGTCTGTGGTTCAGCTTTGATGCAGCAGGCTAATCCATTTTGCTTAAATTTTATTACAGTAGCTCAAAATGGTACTCAGTAGTTTGTATAGCCCCCACCTGCTTGTATGCATGTCCCTAATGTGACAACGGATGATGTCCTGGGGTATTTCCTCCGAGATCTGGACCAAGGAATCACTGAGCTCCTGGACAATCTGAGGTGCAACCTGGCGGCGGATGGACTGAAATATGATATCCCAGAGGTGTTCTATTGGATTTAGGTCAGGTGATCGTGGGGACCATTCAATGTTATTGTAAGCTCCATGTGCAGGGCCCTCCTATTCCTTCTGTACTGAAATGTATTGTAATTTTACTGTCTCCCTTATATTATAAAGCACTGAGCAAACTGTTGGCGCTATATAAATCCTGTATAATAATAATAATGTTATCAATTCCTTCATCCTCCAAGAACTGCCTGCATACTCTCGCTACATGAGGCCGAGCATTGTCATGCACCAGGAGGAACCAGCGTAAGGTCTGACAATAGGTCCAAGGATTTTAATCTTGATACCTAGTGGCAGTCAGGGTGCCATTGTCTAGCCTGTAGAGGTCTGTGTGCCCCTCCATGAATATGCCTCCCCAGACCATCACTGACCCACCACCAATGTGGTCATGCTGAATGATGTTACAAGCAGCATAACGTTCTCCGCAGCTTCTCCAGACCCTTTCACATCTGTCGCCTGTGGTCAGGGTGAACCTGCTCTCATCTGTGAAAAGCACAAGACGCCAGTGGCGGACCTGCCAATTCTGGTGTTCAATGGCAAATGCCAATTGAGCTCTATGGTGCCAGGCAGTAAGCACAGGGCCCACTAGAGAACACTGGGCCCTCAGGTCACTCTCATGAAGTCTGTTTCTGATTGTTTGGCCAGAGACATTTACGCCAGTGGCCTGCTGGAGGTCATTTTGTAGGGCTCTAGCAGTGCTCATCCTGTTCGTCCTTGCACAAAGGAGCAGATACCGGTCCTGCCGATGGATTATGGACCTTCTATGGCCCTGTCCAGCTCTCCTAGAGTAACTGCCTGTCTCCTGGAATCTCCTCCATGCTCTTGAGACTGCTGGGAGACACAGAAAACCTTCTGGCAATGGCACCTATTGATGTGCCATCCTGGAGAAGTTGGACTGCCTGGGCAACCTTTGTAGGGTCTAGGTATCGCCTCATGCTACCAGTAGTGACACTGACCCTAGCCAAATGCAAAACTAGTGAAAATCAGTCAGAAAAGATGAGTAGGGAAAAAAATGTCAGTGGCCTCCACCTGTAAAACCATTCCTGTTTTGGAGGTCATCTTATTGTTGCCCATCTACTGCACCTGTTTTTAATTTCATTAACACCAAAGCAGCTGAAACTGATTAACAACCCCCTCTGCTACTTAACTGACCAGATCAATATCCCAGGAGTTTAATTGACTTGATGCTATACTCTGTTTAAAAAGTGTTCTTTTAATTTTTTTGAGCAGTGTATTTAGTCTTCTCACCTAGTTATGCATGCCTGACAATGGACAATCTTGGGGCATTCAGGACTTGATGATTTGCGTTTTTCCATGACAAAATGTGTTGCATTAAAGACAGCCCATTTATTTAAATTAGCTTCCTAGTACACCAAAAAAAAGGTGCATGTACTTTTTTTTTTTTTTTCTTTTTTTTAACATGGTCATGCATTACTGTGTGTTGGCAAGGTACTTTCTTAGTGCCTTTAAAAATTAAGGGCACTACAGCTTTCTAATGTGCCACATGTGAAGAGAGCATACTCTTTTATAACCTTCGAGTTTACTAAATCCACAACAAACACATCTTTCAGCTGACAGGACAAAGTACACAACTCTTACCATACCTTGCTATAAAAATTAGCTCCAGGCAAATCTGCACAGCTCACTTATGTATGTTGTTCGGGGTAATTAAAGGATGTGTATTGCTTCTTTAGATTACATTATATGCCTATTATCCCCTGCAAGGTACAAGTATAGGTCAGACCTGGAGGGCTTATTATATATATAAAAAAAAAGAAAACTGGAGAAAAAAAAAATGAAAAATGAAAAAATGAATTGTTACCCATGATGACCGAACAGGTTTAATATTCTGGAAAAACAAAACAAAGATTTTGATTAGTATGGCAAACATATCAACTTTCCTGGAAT